CTGGAGACTTTGACCCGGTGGCTGGTGGTAATGGTGTGGCTGCAGGAAGGGGCAGGAGCTGGTAAAAGCAAAAATCGTGCTGGATTTTGAGCTTAAGCTTTGGTTTAATTTGGATTTTTACTGCCCAAAAATCTTTCTTTTTAAAAAAATAATAATCTTTCTTTGGATCTTTCATCACAGATCTTAACAATAATGAAAACTTGCAGATTTCTATAACATTTATAGTTAAAATTTTGAAGCTGTTGCTTTCTACTGTAAATATTATTTTGGAGTGGAATTCTTATGTGTCACCGCATACATTAGACAACCTGCACATCATAAGAGGTTTTTTAGAGTTCAGATCTTTAAGCTGCTGGATTGAAAACAAACCCAAAATCCCGTTCCCTGTGTCAGCCGTGCGTGATGGTTGGTGGGAGAGATGTGTAGGAGGGTTACAGCTGCTGGATTCCTCCAGTTTGCTTTCCCTCTACCTGTTCTGAGGATATCTGTGTGCCAGGACTCTCATCTCCCTTGTCTCCTGTGTTATGTATTGCTTTCTTCCCAAGATGCTTAACTTCTCTGTGTTGAAAGAATCATATGTTTTATTGGTAACAGAAGGATTAGGTATTGTGCCCGTGCCCTGCTTTGCATAAGGCAGCAGTGAGTAAGCCTCAGTGCTCTGCTTCCTTCATTCTCCTAAAAAAAGAATCTGATTCAATTACTAATAAAAAAATATTTCCAATTACCCGTATATTGCTTTTTGTTTGCACACCAGTGAGGTTGTATAAGGAGGCCTCTGGTTTGTGAATTGATTTGGAAGAGTTTCTTTTATTTTTGAACACTGCTTGGTGACCTAGTTAATTGGGAATAATTACTGTCTAAATATATTGGTTTAACATAACAAAAGGCTGTCTGGAAAAAAACAGGGAAGGGAAAGAATGGCTCAAGATAAACCATCTCTTTGCAAACACTTAAGAGTTGTTAAGGGACATCTCCAGAGCTATTAGCAGAGAAGTTTTTAACTTCACTATTGTAATTTAGCTCCTGAGGCTTGAAACAAAGCAGCAGAGCGAAAGAATTGATTTGAAAAGGAGCACTTTCTCTAGTTGTGTGGGTAGTATTTTGTTGGAAAAGCACTGGACACGTAAGAGTCACGGGATGCCCTTGGAGAGGAAGGAGTGGGATACCCATGGTTAGAATGGATTTGGTTGATAATATGGAGCTATAACCTTTATTTGCTGCCTTCTCTCTTTCCAGAATCTTCCTCTTAGGGCTAAAATTAAGCACCGTGTTGATTTTTCAGTAGGGTCACCTGGTTCTGGGGTGACTTCTGATTGCAAGCTTTTTCAGGAGCTTGAGGCTGAATCCTGTCAGACCTGCTCTGTAAGCGTGGCAGAGCTATGAACTGTTGCAGTCCAGGGCTGCTCTAAAAACGGAAAAATTGCTTAATTTAGGAAAGGTAAGGAGGGCCTGACACCTGAAGGGCTATGTTAAGAAAGAGATGTATGGCCATCCCTGTAATTAGGTGAGATCAGTCACGTAAATGACACTGGCTGGATTTTGCACGCTCATCTTCGTTTCAGAGTTGTTTGGTTTATAATAGTCATTTATCTCATATGACAGAGAGCAAAGGGGTATGTGGCACAAGTCACACCTCGGAGGAGTAAAATGGAGCAGCCGTGGATGTGCAAGCAGGAGCCTTTAGATGATAACCCCTTCTCTCAGAGGTCTAACTCTTCATTCCTCTCCCTGAAGTATCTGCAGTTGGTGCTGTGCAATTGCAACTGTGGCAGAAGGGCAAAGACCTAAAAAAAATAAACAAGTGGTATGTGTGTGTGTGTATATATATAAACACCAATTTCAAGGCTTTGAGTGTGTTTGACCTTAAAGCCATCTGTCATAAATGCATTTGCTGGTGAAGTCCACTACCGTTGTGCCAATGGTAGAAAGGCAGAGCATCAGGGTATTCTAATTAATCTCAATAACCTGCAAATAATCAGGTTCCAAATAATTTGCCTCCACAAATGGCACTCATTCTCCCCAAGCAAAGCACTGCATTTGAGCTGATGCTTGGGGTTTTTCTGGGGGGTAGGGAAGATGGGGAGCTCTGTCCCTTGGAAGGGGTGGGTTCCTGGTTGCGCAAGCGGAGAAGGTGAACTGTGAGCCGTGTGGGTATCTCTCCCAGCAGAGCGGTGCCAAACGGCCTCTCAGAGGCTATCTCTTGGGGTTGTCTGTGTCAAAGAACTCCAACTTCAGTCAGATTTGCTTTGTCATCCTGACTTTGGCTCTTGCCACTTTCAATTTCTCTTTAGTTTCTGGAAACTTCTGTTTTAACTCTCTAGTGGGAAGGCCAAGGTGTGTCCAAACATGCAAAAGGGTTGTGTCCAAACAAAGCCCTCTGCACATTGGTCAAACGAGGGAGGGGAGAAAGGTTGGTTTGCGAATATCTGATCACAAAAGGGTGGCAAATCTGGGGTTTTTGTTTGTGTTGGGTTTTTGTTTTGTGTTGTTTTTGGTTTTTTCCCTAGCATGTGTTCTTCTTTAGTTAGTTTTTAACTAAAGGCTGCAGAGGACTGAGCTGTTTCCCAATAGCAAAGCAAGCAATGAAATCTGACACAGGGAGGGGAAGGGAGTTGGCAGAGGGCCTATGTGCACAAATAGCCCACTACGTTTTGAAGCTGTATTTACAGCCCAGCAAACAAAAAAGCAACAGTGCGGGCTGCCTCACAGAGAATTACAGGAGAAATCTTCCCCTTGCAACTTTTTTTTTTCCTCTCAGTGTCAATAAAACATCATTGCTACTGATTCCAGAATCGTAACTCACAAAATGTTGCGGTATGTCTGAAAATGTGTTTATAGTAGTGGATTAGGAAGAGAAAGGGCTGCGTTGCTGCCTTTTGTAGCTCTCAGAATCCCTTTTGCCTTGGACCGCTGTAATACAGGAAGAAATCCTAGTGAAAACCAAACTCTAGATCACAGGGTTTTAGCTGGTTGGGCGAACAGGAGTCTCTTGGCACGGCCCTGTTGGGAGTTATGTAAATCTTGTGCAGTGTATAAGCAACAGGCGGTTGGTGACGTAAAACCCAGCATTTGTCTCTATTTATTGGCTAATGTGACATGCACCCTTCCTCTAGCATTCGACTGAGCTGGCTGTATTAAATATAGCCCTGACACTCCTAAGTGGAATATGCCTCGAGCTGAATAATGGCTTCTGGTCTGAAATTCATTGTTCTAAACGTGGAGATCTTGCACCGTGGCCATCTCCTCTCTGTATCAAATTCTGTCCCGTGTTGATGGTGAAAGGTCTCGCTGGAAACCTCAATTTGCTGAATTTGCCATCGATCGATCGTTGTGGCCAACATTCCTCCGGTGCCTCCTCCCACGCTGGCCGTGCTCTGGGAGACTGAGCAGGATGTCGGTAACTCCTGCGGTGATTATCTTCTGTCAGTGGTGATGGATTACCAAACTGATACATCTGGTGTTTAGGTCCTCTCCATCATGGGAGGCTCACAGATCAGCCTAATAACTGCAGTTACCCCCTTTGACCCAAGCTGCAGTGCTATTAGCTGCTATATTTGGGGTCCTTTATGTTTTCTGTGAGGAGAAAGCAGCGATGCTTCTCCTATGCAGTTCTGATTTTATCCAGAATGCCTGATTCTTAATTTTTTTCTCCCTTCAACACTGTAGGACTGGAACAGGAGGCAGTTTCTTTGCTCACCGTTTCGAGCCTCTTTCCAGCTGGCAAGCAGTCCAAAAATCCCTATGTTTGCTCTTTCTCAGGGTCACGCTGCAAATGTTTCTCTTGTTTTCACCTTGGCTTTCTGGCGTTGGTTTAGACACATGACACTCCACCACACAATACAAACCCTCAATATATCACTGCACCCGTGGAGCGCAGCTTCTGACAAGCCTTCTGCATGGCTTCAGTTTAGGTGGTGCTTCCCAGTTCTTGAAGGTTTGGGGTGTTTTGTTGTTTTGGGGTTTTTTTCTATCCTGCTCAAAAACAACACAGATTTTTTCATACTCATGATTAAAAAGCAGTTATGCCCATTGCATTTGGTGAGATCTTACTCATCTCCGTTCTCGCAGCACCTACTCACAACATGTAAATGAGGGCCACAACCTCTCAGACATGCGTAAACAGAGGAATTACATGACTTGCCAAACACTTACATAATAACTTAATAGTATATCGTGGAACGGCAGCTAAGACTCATCAATCCTCTTCCTGTTCTCAAATTAATTATCATACGAGTCTTAGCTACACCACGACTCTGGAATCAATAGTGTTTATGACTTTCTGAATGTTCTTAATATATCACAGACTTCCACTATCTCATTTGTCTTTATTCAGTTAGAACTTTTGACTCGGATGGTTTCTAAGTTCCTTTGAGTTGTGAGTATCCAGAGGCTGAGACAGCATTTTAATGATTAATAAATTAATTAAGAGTACTCATGGCTCATACGGGACCATGTGTTTCAAACACAGCAAGGCTTGAGTTATTAACCACAGCTACTGATGCCCTTTGGCCCCGAGAGCTATCGTAAGAGCGTTCCTTGTGTTTTGTTCATCTCGTGCTCCTCTTGGACCTTTTGTGCCAAAATAAAATGGAGAGATTGAGTCCTTCTGAAAGGAGCTCAGGAAATGAGTCTGGTCTAGAGAAGCTGCCCTGTTGTTTCATGCTGCTGCAACAGCACTTCCCTCAGTATCTCCTGAACTTTTTGGCAAACTTCACAAAGGGCTAATGGGGTAGAGGTTGCTGAGACTTGTAAGTTCCAAGGTGTTCAGTGAAAATAAGCAGCAGAGTAGAGAAGTGGTCTGAAATAGTGTCTCTGGCGAGTAAAATGCTGCATTTTGAGCTCTGTTGTCTTGGGAGAATCCATGTGTGATAGAGGTAAAAGCTTTTAAAAAGTGTGAGCAGCGGAGCCAGTACAGTCTGGATAATGTTTTTTTGCTTAACTGTTTAGGATGAAATATGTAAACCTGTGAAAAGGACCTGACCCACCTGTACTTCACGTTGTAATCTGCTTTTATTTTGCTTTCCAGGAATCTACAAGCCGCCATTGGAGCCTACTATGATTTTGAGAGTCCAAATATCAATGTACCCTCCATGTCCTTTGTTGAAGATGTCACCATAGGCGAAGGAGAGTCCATCCCTCCTGATACCCAGTTTACAAAAACATGGAGGATACAAAACACAGGTAAGGCCTTTGGTGTGTAGCAAACCCCGTATATTATGTGACAGGGTGGCTGAGCTGCTGGGAGAGAAGCTGGCGTGAGGAGGAGGTTCATGTGCACTTCACTTGGACTGGAGCCACCCCGTTACTGGAGGAGGTGACCTGCCAACCTCTGCGCATTCCCCTTCTTAACATTGGCACAAACAGCTTGTGGCCAGACAGGCAGCTCAGCTCACCAGTCTTGTTCTTTGTGCCACAAACAAAATCTCTAGGAAACTTCTAGATAAAAGAAATTAAAGTACAAGTTTGCTTTTTTTGTTTGTGTTTTTTTTTATTATTTTTTAAATGGAGGTAGTTTGATCTGAAAGTAGATTTAGAATCCTTAGCTCATTGTGTTTCTGATCACTTGATGCAAACAAGTGCAGTAAGTTTTTAAGTCAATAGAGGGATGCCTTTTACCTCATGACCAGTCTTTCATCACACCATTTGCCTGCCTGTCCCTGTCATTTGGTCATTTGGCTCTCTCTAGTCCTCTCTGTTCTCTGGGGAGGCAGTGATGCAAGGATCTGACCCTGAGAAGAGGTACCTGTGTGGGGGTACCGTGGCAAGTCCCCTTTGCTTTTTAATACACTTCTGACAGAATTGCGTTCTCATGCTTTGAGAGGATGAAAGGCTGGATAGACCACATTCCAGTATGAAATAAGTCAAAACAGTGACTGGAATCCAGGAAGTGAGACTGGACAAAATACATTCTCGGTGCTTGATCTGTCGGGATGGAGTCACAAAGAAAAATGAGATCCCTGGATGCAAAGCGGAATGCCTTGTCTTCAGGTGTTGTGATGACAGGACGTTGCATGAATGTTTAAGCTGCGTGTCTGAATTTAATTGACCTGCTTGCACTTTTGTGAAGCAGAACGATAGCAACAACAAGGTATAATGTCATGAATCATCGTGAGTAAAGTTCAGCTGTGTTAGTATTTCTGCTTGTAGATAACTGCAGTGCTGGAGCGCTGTACAGATTTGTGCTGAATATCAAAGTATAACGGGCTAAAACCATACTAAAAATCTAAGAGTATTTCATCAGGATGTGAGAAGTGAGAAGAGGCTCTGTGTGTGTTTAAGAACTCTTATTTTAAAAGGCTATAGTCTAGAGAATGGGCTAATTATTTCAGTTTACTTTTTCTGCCTCTATTTGTTTGAATTAGTACAATGGAAAGGTGGCATGTATGGCTTGCTTAAACTCCAGGAATTTGGAAAATTGACTGGCAATTTTTTTTGTAACTGTCTCAAATACAAGTCTTACAAATGTAGTAAGTTTTGACAGCTCTTGTTTCTCCAATATTAGTACCTTAATTTGTATGTTATGACTACACCCCTATCTTGCTCCTTTCAGACTCCTTGTTCCTCTGATGTCCTCTTTCCTGAATGCAAATTCAGCCTTAATTTAACATCCTCGTTCAAGCAGTGTCTCATTGTTCTTGGAACGTTTGACCTTCTGAAATCCATGGGTCTTCCAAAATGAGGAAAGGGAGTTAATCTTGACTTAGGAGTTCCTGGCAAGACCAACATTTGTTCTGGCTTCTGTGTGGGTTAAAGCCTGGCTGCTTAAAAACGTACATCTGTGCTCGAAGAGTGGTGCTGGAGGCCAGAGCTTGTTAAAACCACGCTGTTGAGGCACATCCTGTGTTATGACTGCAGTTTAAGGAGGGCCGTAGCACTTTAAAACCATTTTATGGTTTAATTAAGGTATAATATCAAAGGACTATAGTGTTTCCAGATAATATCTGCTTGTTAGGTAGATAACTGAAGCAAAGCCAAGGGTTTTAACAGCTCTACAGGAACGCTTGATTAAATGACTTCAGTTCTAGAACACGAAATACCTGAGGCATGTGTCACCGAAGCATTTAGTATCTGACAAGTATGACAAGCAGAGCTCTGAGAGATTGTCAGTTCTAAGCCTGTGAGCAGTAAGCTGGGTTCAGTCGGGTTTTCATATATGTTATTAAAAACCAGTGCCCTGTTCTGATATCTTCCAGGATGGTGCTCGGCTTCTCTGCCAAAAGACCAGTTCGTATAGTAGAACCATTGCTGAAAGAGCAGCAGGATTTAACAGACTTATTTCCTCTTCCCACTCTCCCCCCAGCTGCTGCTGGCTCTGCAGGACAGTTACTACAATTTATCATCTCCTGAGAGATGAGTGTACTGAAATAGAATGACATAATCATCATTTCATTTTATGGGGCTTATCAGTTGCAGCATTCTGGGCACCTTGCAAGCCTAAAGCCATTAAAACCGATAAAAATCACATAAATTATTTAAACTGAACCATGTTGCTGGGCTGCCAACCTTTTCAGATGAGACTTCACACTCAACTCCCACGCGCTATAGTCCGAGGTCAGCTCAGACTCTGCTCCTCTTCCAGACACCTCCCTATCTCAGCAGTGTTTCCAGTCCCCCGCTCCAAATATCCCACTCATTTGTCCACCTCGTGCTTTCCCTGCAAGATTGTGAGTTCCACAAATCAGGACTTGACTAGAAAACCTGTCCCTGCCGTGTCTTCGCTGGAGTATCCACAGGGATTAAATTAGCAGGCAAGCTGTTGCGAAGGATGCTCTTTGGGGTAACCTGAGGTCAGACCAGCATCCACCCTTCCCATCTCGGAGCAGACACAGAGTGGTTCCAGGCTTCTTGGTGCTTTAGCCTTTCCCTGGCTCTTTCCATCAGCCTTAACCTGGCAGAAGGTATTCTTAAAGTCCTTGGCTTAGTCATGTCACGTAATTGGGGGAGAAGCAAAAGAAAATTCTGCTAAACTGATTTTTTTTTCTTTTTTCCATGGCTGTCGGAAGCCCTCTTTCTGTCTGCCCCAGAATGTGTTATCTTTGGTGGAGAAGGCTGCGCTCGCACGCAGCGACTGTTTTCTGGATCTCTACAGATTGCCAGGTCACACCGTCAGCCCCAGTCTCTGCAGTCTAAACACTCATCTCCACAAAAAAAAAATCATATGTTCACAAGCCTTTCCACCTTTGCACGAGTCGGAGAGAAGGGTTGGTGCAAGAAGGGAAATAAACTCATTTAGAAAATAGTACCAGCTCTTCAATTATAGTTCAAACACACAGTTCCTCCTGAGGCTTTAAAAAAAGAATGAATCGCTGAAAGAAAATGTTTCCAGTGCTTTGTATTATTAACAGGTATTTTGATATCGCAAGGCTCAGGAGCTACATGTAGGGAGGCAGAAAGAAATAAGAGGGGGGGAAACCCCCACGTAGGACTTCATCGTTGTCTCTACCATTGGTAAAAAATATATGCGTGTTGGTTACGTTAAATTATTATTTATTTTTGCAGCTGTTATGCTGTGATTGAGATTTTCTTTCTGTGCAAAGATGACCTAGAGATTATTCAAATAAAAATATAAATTGTCCTGCTGGTGTCTAAATGGACCGGTTAAGCCTTGTCTCAAAGCTACTCTTCTCCAGCATCCAGTGCTGGGTGTTTTGTGGATCTTGGTGTTCCTTTGACTGTTCAACAGCTGCACAAGGGTGTTTAATCAGTGTGTTTCACCCGCTCTTACACGAACAGGCAAAGCTTTTCCTGGTGCCCTGTCAGTAATTCTGTCTTCTCTTTAATCCCAGGGACGGAGGCTTGGCCCCCGGGGGTTTGTCTGAAGTACGTCGGGGGAGACCAATTTGGCCACGTCAACATGGTGATGGTCAGGTCCCTGGAGCCCCAGGAGATCGCGGACGTCAGCGTTCAGATGTGCAGCCCCAGCACAGCAGGGATGTATCAGGGACAGTGGCGGATGTGCACGGCCACGGGACTCTATTACGGAGGTGAGTCATCCCTTTGCCACCACTTCAGGCTCTTCCTGATATTCCCATCACAGGGAAAAATGGAAATTCCTGACCCTTTGGAGATGCTCTTCCCGATAACCACGGGGTGAAGGTAGAAGGCTGCCAGCTCTGGGCCTAAATATAGAAAATAGAATAGAGAAAAGATCAAGTGAGCTGCTTTTGTTGTCTGGGTCAGCACAGGACTGTTTTCTAAACACTGGAACCAATTGCTGATTACACAAAGCTCTGAAAAAACAAAGGCACTTGCAGAGTTCTCCTGGAGACTGCTTCCCAGTCCCTCCTCAGGATTCTTTCCCAGTTTTCCAGCACTGAACATCGTGAACTACATACAGGCATAAAAATCTATTGAAGTGGCAAAAACCTCACCCGAGAAGTTTAGTTAAGGCCTGGGTTTTATTAGTATAACTTGGTGCGTGCACAGTGAACTGATTTTCTGTGTTTAAAACCCACTTTTTGGATATTCTTCCTGAAGCCTCACCCTGAGCCACCAACATCTTCATTCATTTGGAGCCTTTCAGTTGTTTTTAGCCAACTTTATACCGAGAACATCTTTGTGGCTGTTTTAGCAGCTGGGAGTATCCCGAGTACATGGGTTTGAGTGAGAGATGTTCGCACTCGGGAGTCAAAAATAGCTCTTAGAAACACAGGGTTTTTGGTGGAATTGTCAGCAGATGGAGGACTCTGCGGCGTCGGGGATGTGGGGATGTGGCTTTTCCTCAAAGAAAGGGCACAAATTCCCCCACGCAGGTTGATAGGCCAGTCCAGCTTGTGATACCTGTCACAAAAAGTGTGTTTAGAAAGCCTGACAATTTCAGATCTTACTGAGATTCCTCAAGTTGCACGTTTTGCAAGAAAATGACCTACAAATTCATATCCCTTGGGCTACCGAGCTCAGAGTCAAAAATGCCCTTCCCCGGTGATATAATTGACGACCTTTATGCTCGCTCTCCCCCGGTGGCAAAGCCCAGCAGCCGTGTTGAGGGCCTGGCAAGCGGCCGGGGTTGTTGCTGGGTGGATTTTTCACGCTGGTAGGGCTTTGGTAGCCCCGTGGCGAGCGGCGGGGCCGGGCGTTGCGCCGCGGGCGGGCAGCAGGGGGCGCTGCGGGGCCGCTCGGCCGCCGGCGGGGGGGGGGGGGGGCGGGGGGGGGAGGGTTCCCGTGATGCGGCGCTGGGCCCCGGCCTGGCCGGAGGCGTTAAAGGCCCGCGCGGCCCGTTACGCCCTGGAACGTTCTTTAGGCCCGTTTTTAGAAGAACGGCTGCGTTTGGAACAGCTCAGTTTGGATCTCCGCGCCGGGACCGGCACCCTCCGCCACCTCCGCCTGCGCGCCGCGGTGAGGCCTAGGCCCCGGGGGTCGGTTTCCCCTCCCCCCTCCGGATGGTGAATTGGGCGGTTTGGGGGCTTTAATAGTGCTTCAGAATGGGTTACAGCCCCGGCAGGGTGCCGGGGGGGCCTTGAGCAAGTTGTATTTTTGGAAGGTAAAAATCCCACGGTCTTTAATTGGGTCGTAAAACGCCAAGTAATGAGCCCAGCCCTGGGAAATGGGGGAGGTTCCGTCCATCCCTGCTGCTGGGGAAGCCAGGGTGGAAAAACCCAACAGCCAAAAGCTGCTCTCTGCTCCCCCAGGCTACCACCGGCAGCAGGAAAAGAGCCCCGTGTAGGTTAACACTTGACTGCAGAAAACCTGGAAGCAATTACAGTGTACCAGGAGGTGCTGTTATTAGATCTGCCGAGGTGAGAGGAGGTATTGCTGCTGTTCTTCCTCATTCTCCCTCTCCGGGCTGCAAAACAGAACTGGAGCACACTTAATGGCGAGGTGAAAAAAAAAGAAAAAAAGGGCAATAAAACTGAATTTGGTTACATATCAAGAATTATCTTTATGTAAATAGGCCATAATGTTTGCATGGAGTGTAAATGAAATGGTAGGTAAAATAACAATCTTATCTGCGTACAAGAGACGGACATGCACTAGGTAAGAACAGTAAATATGTTTCTTATTCTAACCAGTCGTTTGCGAATTTGTGCAATAGTCTACCAAGCCTGGTTATCTTATCCACCTACTGTGAGTGTTTTGGAACAGGAACGGAGATACTTTGGAGTGAGTTGTTACAGATATAATTGCCTTCTAAGTCACCCTTTTGTCGTTTTATTTGAACAGTCAAACCTTTCAAGGCTAAACAAAAAACATTGCATTTCCTTTACCATCAGAGTAGAAGACTGGCAGTGATATCTCCTGGCTCTCATTTCATTCTTGCTGCGTAGCCTTGGATAAAATCACTTGAGGTTTTCTTTTTTCAGTGCATCCTATTGGTAATGTGAAATACGGAGCATCGAGTTGTCGCATCAGTTTGTTTATTAGCTGGTTCATGTAAGTTCAGTAGGAATAAAACTTGCCTGGTTTTCTTGAAAAATTGGACACTAAATTAGTATTTAACCAGTACTTCTGCTGCTTCATAAACGTGTATTTTCAACAATCAGTCTTTGTTCTTGCTATTGTAAAGGATGGAATTTACGTTGTTTTTCCTCCTGGCCCCTTCCTCAAAAACTTCATCTAGTGACAACTCAAATGTCTCTCTTTCTCCACAGATGTCATCTGGGTGATCCTCAGCGTGGAAGTTGGAGGACTTCTAGGTGTAACACAGCAGCTGTCATCCTTTGAAACAGAGTTCAACACGCAGCCGCATCGCAAGGTAGAAGGAAACTTTAACCCATTCGCCTCTCCACAGAAGAACAGGCAACCAGATGAAAACAACCTAAAAGACCCTGGGGGTTCCGAGCTAGGCACAATCAGCAAAAACACATGGGGGCCTGCTCCTGACCAAATCGAACAAGATCAGAATGGACTGTCACAAAACTCTGTAAATCTCTCCCCCAGCAGTCACTCGAACAACTTGTCGGTAGTGACATACAGTAAGGTAGGTGCCCTGGGAGAACAGGAGAATGGGTAGGTGATGAGACCCCTCTATGTAATAGTTCTTCGTTACAAACTGCAAAAGCCCTTCCCTTCTGCTTCTGCCAGACCTGCTAAGGAAGGTTTTGAATTTGACTGTCTGACTCTGCCAACTCCTCGTGTTATATCAAAATACTTTTGCCTCTGATAGACTTTACCAGATCCACCTTTTTGGTTTTTTGGGTTTTTTGGTTGTTTTTTTTTTTTTGCTTCAAGTCCTTCTTAAAATTTATATAATCTTGTCTGGGTGCTGTAACTATTAGTGGCTGGAGCCTGCTCCGGTTGCGTGTGCAAATAAGTCAAAATATCTCTCTAGATGTGCTCCTGAGTTTTACATAATTTTGAAAAGAGTAGAAAAAATAATCACACCCCCAAACCCTAAAATTAACCAGATAACTTCTTTTTAGCTGGTGTGGGGAGACTACAGAGCTCAACATTTTGATCCCAGAAGCTACCTGTCAGGAACAGTCAATCGAAGGACTATTCCTGTCTGTGTCCTTGTCTTGTTTATAATTGTAGGTGACTTTTAAATTCTCTTTACTTTAAATCTCTTTCAGAAGCTTGCTTGGTGGATGCTATATGAGTCTGAGTGATATTTTGACTGTTTTTATTTGCTTGTGTGTGAAAAATGAATTGCAGGATTATTTACAATTCAGAATCCACCTGTTAATGCAGCCAGTATGTGTAGGTGTGTACTGTCGTATGTCAAACTAGTTTGATTTTTAAAATCCTTTAAAAAAATGCTTTACTGTACTTTAAGCAGGCTGTGTAGGACAATAACACTTGGTTGATGAATGACTTAATAAAGCCCTAATATTAGTTCACCTACAGCACTTTAGCTCCTACCTGGATGAACTGCCTGTCCTCTACCAGTGGATCATATTTTAGTGACCTACTTTGCACCAGGGCTATGCATTTATTTTTTTTTACTGATGGCATGCGCGGGATTAACTGTTTGACAGACTCCCAATCACCCTTCTTGTGTTTTGCACCCCAAACATAAATTGCTATAAGCTGTATTGGCTCCTGCTTCAAGATTCTTGCTCACTAAAAGTGAAATGGATGGCTTGGGAAATGATTGAAAAAAAAATAAAGCCTTTCACCTATAAGTTCAAATCCAACCTGAATTAGCGGTGACTGAAAGCCACTACCTTTTCAGTGGTTGCTTGGAGGATAGTGGTGTTCCCTGAAGAGACAGATGTGGTTTTTTGACTGCAGAAGCCATCTGTGTGTGGATACAGCTTCTCTGCGTAAAGTCTTCTCGGGTGCTTCAGGTGGGGAGTGCTGCCTCGTGGCTGTTGTGTGGATCCCAGCAGAGATTGGTGACAGCTCTATGTGTCCCTTAATGAAAAAATAAAAATCAGTTACCAGCTACAGCTTTGGTGAGATACTGGACTTAGCCAAGCCTTTTGTAGCGAAAATGTTAGGTGTAATTTAGGTGGGAAAACTCAATTCCACATTTGGTGGCCAGCTTTAGGCTGGAGGTGGCTTTTTTTTCCCCTGTTGCCTGTTTTCTGAGTGCAGAGCTTGGCAATTACTTCACAGCTGATTTGCACTTGCAGGTGGATAGATGTGGAGCTGCTAATACGGGCTCTTCTGAGAAGGTTCCTGTGTAGAAATCCTGGACGTGAGGTTTTGGCAGTAACATGGCCTTGAGGTTTCACCTTCCTGGTGAGAGTAGAGCAGCGTGGCCACCAGGAGGTGACAGGCACCAGCAGACTCTCCTGGCTGAGGAGTGGATGCTTTGCCTTTCCTAAGAATGTAGGTGTAAGAAACCAATACGTATGGGACATAGCAAAGGTCATTTGTACTATGGAAAAGCCAAAAAGGAGAGTGAAGCCCTACCAGAGAGGATTTCACTAAATTTAAGTAAGCTTATTTAGCTAGTGACCCAAAGTTCCCCATCAGTACTCTTTGGAGATGTGAGCCATTAGAATCTAACCTCAGATACAGGCTAGGTGGCCTTTCTCCCTTTCTTTTCGTTGTTGCTTTGGGTTTTTTTTATTTCCTTTTGTATTTACAGAATATTCTTGGGTGGATTTGAGGTGGATTATCTGAGATAAAAGTAGAAATTGTGTTTCTTGCTTAATTCAGAAGGGATAACTTTATGGTCCTTTTTGGAGATGGGGTGGGGTATGTGAAAGCTCATTGATTTCTGAGGTTTTTTTCATCTCTACTGCAGTGTTTCTGTTTGTGATATAACAAAACAAGTTAGCTTTTCCCTTGGAGGCTGTTATTAAGGTAGGTCTGAAGATCAGAGTCCTGTTCCAGCCTTGCCCTTCCTGTCCAGGGCAGGAGATGTTCTGCCATAGACGTTGGTACGATCCTGTTTCTGCAGTGAACGATTCTGAGGAGGTTTGATATCCTGGATACTCGGTTTTGTTTCAAACAGCCAGGTGAATGTGCTCACCTCCCCTGGCGTAGATCTGTCCCTGTCGCATGCCTTCTTCCTGCCAACTGAAAATCCTTCTGGAAAAGAAGATATTTAATGTTTTTTTCTAATAAGTGGTAAGGTGTAAGCAGGATACCCAACTGCTACTGAGGCAGGAAGGGGCTTATTAGAGGTGATGTCAGAAGTATTAACCCACCCCATCAGCAGATGGGTTCTGGTACCTGTTAGGAAGAGCTCTGTCTGGCCCATCTTCCCCGGGGACTTGACCTGTTCTCTGCTGCTTGAGAGGGGTAACCAAAACCACTGCATTTGGAGCTGTTTTGTGATTGAATATTGACGTGAAAGGCTTTATTTGAAGTTCCTGGAGCAGACAAAAGAATTCTGTGTGTTGGTTACGTAGTTGCTCGTTAGGATTCCTGGATTTTATTTGTCTTGGGCAGGACTTCTAATACTGTTGTCTGCTTTTGTGTACCTGGAGAATGGAGTGAATCCCTAATTTTGACACACCATTTGGTGAGATATAGCAAAGGGAAGGGTAAGGTCTAGTTAAGGTGTTCAGAAGGACCTATGTCCTGTATTTAGAAGCAATGTCAGCCCTGAAATATTTCTCAGATCACCGTGGAGGCTTCCTCTCTGCCGAGAGATCCTGAAGAACCCTGGTCATGCAGTTGCTTGAGACCATGGAATCTTTGAGATCAAACTAGCAGTTTCTGGCATCTGCAGCTGTAAAATGTACTAGAAGTTGCCAGACCTTGTCTGTATTATTCTCCCTCCGGTGCAGCTGAGCAGGTGTGACTTGTCCTCTGAAATTCCCCCTTGGAGTCAGGATCTCGGTGACACTGATGTGCCATCTGCTGCCAGATTAGACAATATATCAGTGTTTCACACGTGGAAACACTCAAAATGCTTTTATACGTGGTTTAGATGCTCTGCTCACTGAAGCAAACTTCTCTAGAAAAAAAAAAGAACCAAGATGCTGAATTTCCTGTAAGCAGATGTGATATGGTTGAATCAAAGTGACGGTGACCTTTATTGCTGCTGTAGCGTACACCTTGCCTGGGTCCACCCTGCCCACCTTATCCAATAAACTGCTGGAAGGTTGTAGATCAGGATCTGTGTTCAGGGCGTTGCTTTACGCATGTTGTTGTTCTCTCTATTCCCAGTAGAGTTTTTGCATGTTCTTAGAATTAAAGATGTGCTTAAGTGCAGGACAGGATGCTTATCTCGGGATGCGGATGAGCTGTATTAGAGTCCAGATATACCCATGCATGGGTATTTTATTCTCCTCTTTGGCAATGGCTTTCTCTCTGTATTCTCGAGAGAGATGAGGCTAATATAGCTTCCTTCTATGTACTGGCTCCTGTCTCATAGCAACCCTGTCGAGGTCACTGCTGCTCTCTTGTGACAGTCTTTTACATTAAAAGTGCAAGATGCAGTCTTACAGTGCCTGGGGAATTAGAGTTAAATTTCTTAACTAAGGGAAAAACATAGAGGTTTAAATGTCTGAAAAGATCTGAAGTGCATAGCCATATACTGACATTCAGATTGTACTTGTCACCTGTATGTAAAAAAAATAAATATATATATCTCTAAATCTATTGCCCGTATGGATTGAGGAATTGCTGTTTTCTGTGTAACACAGAAAACTGCATGTAGAAGTTCTGATTCTGCAAAGATTTGCTGGTATAGAACAATTTACATGGACACCACAACAGCAGAGGGGGTTCTACAGCTCATCTGGCGTTAATCTCTTCGGTGTGTTGCTTGCGCTGCTCTCAAAGACACGATGAAATACAAGCATACTTGGAGTTCATAAAATTAAAATCTTAACACCTTTTTTCCTGCTCTACTTCTGCTCCCTCTTGTACTTCATCCTGTGTGGAGCCAAACTCTGATCTCTGCTACTTGACAGCTTTCTGTTCGTAAGGGGAGATCAAACCGCTCTCTGTCCTTAGAGCCTTTAACTGGCTTCCCCTCTCTGAGTGTAAAAGTTGCTGCTGCTTCTGGATGTGTGCTTCTTCTGCATCAGGGCACTCCAGTTTGCCTGCTTTTGGGGTACCTCTGTAAACTTTAGACACATTTTTCCACTGGGAACTAGTTGGGTACCAAACTAGTGGGTAAGGAAGATGCCCCAACACTGTTTGCTTCCACGTAGAGGAGAAGCTCCTTCCATCCTGGTGTCTGGGCTTCAGCCTGGGCTGGTTACCACATGCTGAAATGAATTTAGAACAAAGTGGGAGAGGGTTGAGCTCGGAACTACCATGGCTGCTCTGGGACAGCCAGGCTGCTGCCTAGCATCTGTGGGCCAGACTGGTGTTGCATGAGCTGGTTTGCTTCTCTGGTGATGGACTAATGTGTTTGGGTGCTGCATGTTTGCTCAGCCATGAAACCCCCCAGTCCCTGTGCTTTTGGACTGTGGGAAATGTGAGATAATCTGATTTATTTTTTTTTTTTTAGCTTCACTTTGCTCCATTGCAGGCCAACAGAGTTTCCCTGATCTTTTATCTCAGCAGACTAAAAGCACACGATCGATTAAGTTACAGAGGGCTAAGGTTTTTTGCATGGTAACTGAATCGTGTGCCCCAGCCCTCGTGTTCTCCATCAGCTCCATCTCAGCCCGTCCTGCCCGCGGCCGCGCCGGCAGCAGGTTCTTCACTTCTCGACCTGCCGGGCCGTGTTTGCACAGCGTGTGTGGAATGAAACAAAAAAAACGTGCTCAATCTGTTGTTCTGTTTGTGTTGGGTCTCTGTGAGTCAGTGGGGAGACCCGTGCGTGGTTGGGAGCAGCGCTGGGCAGGAGGGGCCGAGGGGCCGGGGCTGTCGGTGCGCACGGGAACACTCCTGTATGGCTTCAGCTCTGCATCACAGACTCCTCTCTCTCTCTGTACCTTTTATCCATCTTGACTCAGTCATGAAGGTGAAATAAAGATAGCTGTTTGAAAGCCTGTGTGGTGATGGTTTATGAAAGATTAACTTGATTTTATTTCTAGCACAGGTGCCTTCATTTAAAGAGCTCAGTATTTACAGAGGCTTTTAACTTTCCCAGATGTCTCAATTCCCTTCTAGATACAGAAGTCAAACGATAATTTATACCAATAATTGTCATGTAGAGCCTTTTCTTGAGAACACATGGTCCTCTATTCTCCCATATTTATCTGTATGAATAGCCAGTGTCCTTTCACTTGCAACTTAGCAATTACTTCTGTGGAAGATATTGGAGGAACTGAAAGTAAATTTGCAAAGCTGCAGCTGAGCTTTTCATCAAGTCAGTGATCTCATTTGGAGAATGGAAGGGAATTCACCAAAAATAGTGTGAATAATTCTTCAGTTGAAATAACTCGGGGGGGAAAAACTGCAATTGTATGCAGAATTATTTTTGCATGTTTCTGATGTAAAATATTGCATATGAGGGATAATTAGTCTTGAAAATGTTGTATAATGGGGATTGGTATTTGCATTGCAGCAGATACCCGGCGTTCCCAGGTATCAGGACACTATTACACTGTGTGTGATGAATAAATGTAATGTGAGGGAATTGCCCTGCAGAGAGCTTGCATTTTAGGAAAGGAAGAAGAAAGAGCATTTCCTGAAGGGGAGTAAGAGTTTCTTGCTCAGAGTCTCATGTTAAACCACGTCTAAAATCGCAATCATAAAGAAACACTTGAGTTATAATTTTGTAAGTTCTCGTGTACGCTAATAAATCTGATGGGTAAGTGAAATGCAGTGAAGAGCAGCAATCCCAAAAGCAAAGATTTTGGGGCTTTTTTCATTGCATCAGGAGAAGGTAACCTTGGTCCCATATTCTGGGAATGTTGTAGGAATCACAAGAGCAGCTCGTGTAGGGACGGCAGCCTGGGACGCGCAGGGTGTAGTGAGTGGTACAGAGCTGTATATACTTAGTAACCTGACTCTCTGAAGGTGAGCTAAATTCTGCTTTTAATTAACACAAGATTAGCATAATCGTGCAGCTTTAAATTACATGCTACAGAAAACAGTAGCCGAAGATCCAGAGGGTTTCGCTGAAAAGAGGGATAACAGCATTTTCCTGGGGTCTCTGCACACAGAGGGACTGATGGACTCTTCTCCTGCCTGACGTTAAGCTGAAGGCTCTGGCCCGTGTGCTGATTAACTGCTAATTCTTTGATGTCACGGGGTGATGCAGACGCTCAGCCAAGGAGGTTGTGCCTGTGACATAAACCATGAGACACAGGGAGGGTTCGGGGCCGGCTCCGCGGTGGCCCCAGCAGAGGGAGCAGGTGACTGGGAGAACTGGGAGAGCTGGGGGTGCTTCCCGGGCAGTGCCTGCAAAGTCTTCTCTAAAGATGGAGCAAAGTTTGGCAAATGTGTCCGTACAGGTAATTGGCAACAAATCCTGGTTTTGTTCTGTAGAGCAAAAAGCACAATAGCTTAATCCCACTGAGGTGAGACTGCTTAGGGTCTTGCTTATACGTTGCTTTCCTTCTGTGTCCTTTGAGGGGTTTTCGTGTGCTTACATCATTTTAACATTTCACATCTGTTCTTCCCCTTCCTCCTGTTTCAGTGACTGTGTCTTTTTTGGAAATGTCGAATTATCTCAGTCTCGTGATGTTGGTGGGAGCTTCTCCCTTCTGAGGTGATCTCTTGCGCTGGAGTCTGCTGGGTTTTATCCTTTGAAAAGCATGATTTACAGACTGGGAACACAACGTATTCCTAGGGTAGAAGCGTGTTTGTTTTTCCATCGCTTGCACGTATTTCTGTCTGCAAACAGCAATTTCCAAGCTCCCAGTCTTCCGTGCTCCCAATGAGGTTCATGAGATGTCCTGTTTTGTCTGCTAATCCCCCTCTCTTGGTTGAATTTTGAGACCTGCTGATAGATGCTTCATTTTGCTATTGTCTTGTATTTAGCCACATCTGAAAGAATTAACGTTTACGAGCTGTAGCAAGATTACAGGCTTCTTATAGCCTTTGCTTTATACCATAGATATACAAGAGAGCTCTTGAAGTTGGTTTTTTGATGAAGTTGATCCTTTCTTTATATGAGTCATGTTGAAGACTCTTTGCTTCGTGTTTCTGTGGGTCCTGCAGTGAGGTTGTTACAGAGTTGTAGGAATAAAGTTATAGTACAGGTTGGGGGTGACCTGCTGGAGAGCAGCTCTGAGGAAAAAGACCTGGGAGTCCTGGTGGACAACAGGATGGCCATGAGCCAGCAATGGGTATTTCCTTTGAGATTTGCCCTGTTAAAGGCAAAATGGTGAAAACTGATGTCAGGGCTTCATGTAAAGACTGAGAAGGACTTTGTGGTAATTGGGCTGTTGGTTGTCTACTCATCAGCATGCGGGAAAGAAGCTGGACTGGGTTAAAAAAAAAAACCTAAACATTTGCATAATGGTCTTCCGACTGTGACAATGAAATATAATGAGCTTGTCTCACTTTTGACCCGAGTGTGTGTCTGGAGGATTCTGTGTGTGGCTTGTACCTTCGTCATTGTGACAAACTTTATATCCCTGTGACTCGGGAGGTCTCTTGCCTCCCCGTCGGCCGCTCTCTTCTGCTTCCTGATGGAACCCTGGAGAGCTGATTTGAACAATGGAAATTACAAAAAGGAGTTCCTGTTAATTTGAGACCTGTTACTAGATCTGTCATTTAGGTGACTCACTTCAGGATGTAAAGGAGGGAAAATTGATTCTGTAGTAAGCATTTTTATTCTTTCTGGTTAAACGCAGTGGTTGATTTTTTCACTTGAGGAAGAAGCTTATTATCTTGAGAGTGTGAAAGAGGCAGTTGTGAGAACGTGGATTTCCAAATCTTGATTATTTTTCTTAAATAGACACTTCTACCTGTTACAGCCTCCTACTTTAATGTTTGCTGTAATCTTTACAATAGACTTGTGAAACTGCAGTTGCTTGGCCTCACAGGTATTGTAGCATCTATAGGGGATTTCTTCCTCTAGTGTAGAAAATACAAGTTACTTTGTGGCCCAGTAACCCCTGGCTATTACCTGCCCTAAATAACACCTGAAAGAGGTAAGTGGATAAAATCTGACATCTCTGGGGAAAGCAGCTAAAAGCACCCAAACCTTTGTTTTAGGTGTGTTTCATGAAGCTGGACAACGAAGATCACGCTGGGTAAACGGTTGTGTTTGGTTCAGAAGCCCTGGGACGGGACGGTGGTTTTTAGGTGTGCACTCATCGCTTGTATTTCTTGCCTATTGAAATTGATTATGTCTCCAACTTTCTTTCAGGGTTTCCACGGTCCTTATCCCTTCGGACAGTCTTAAAACACACAAAAAACCACAAAACGGGTATCAACAAGCGGAGGATTTAACAAAGAACTGACTTTTGGGGGAAGGGAGGGGGATTCATGTGGCAGACACAACGTGGACCCCCCCCTTCTCTGCCTCTGGGTTCTGGATAAAGAAGAAAATACAAAAGCCCAGTAACTTAAACTTAGCTGTTTCCAGAGGAAGATTCAAAATCTAAGTATGCATGTGTGAATGCTGGATTTCAGGAGTGTTGTTAAATGCTATGAGAGAAAATATACCAACACCGTGGGTTGTTTTTTTTTTTTTTTTCTTTTTAGAAATCATTCTCACACATAATTAGGTAGCTTAAAAAGAAGTTTAAAAAATGAAAATGAAAAAGCCATCTTTAAAAAAAATATTTTGCCTACAGAGCGGTTGTAGTTTGAGCAAATGTTTAATTTCTGTTTGTTTCTTGTTCATAATTTTTTTTTTAAATAAGGGACAGCGTGCATTTTTATGGAACTGTCATGTTTTGCTTGCTACGAATGGGAATTTGCTGAGCATCTTCTGGGGTTTGTGCAGTGACTTCTCTTTGTCGGACATTTTTTAATGACAGGTTGGGTCTGCGCCCAGCTCTGCAGTTTTAATATCATCTGCTGGTTTTAGTTACCAACTTTTTTTGTCTTCTTTTATTTCTCTTTTGTGGTTTTTTTTTTTTTTCCTTCTCCTTTTGGTTTGGGTGTTGCTGTTAGTTGTCCTGCATGTTGTTGGAAACCGTGCTGAAGACCAGGTCTCGCTTTCAAAGTTGGGGAGAAAGACTCTGGGACTTCTAGGATCACATGGAGGGCTCCTTCCCTTCCCCTTGTACGTGGAGTACACACAAATACACACCCATATTAAGAAGAAACAAGATTTATTAAAGTTCCAGAGCTGTCCTATGTGGTTAGCATTTAAAAAAAACCTTTTTTGTTAACTCTTGATGTACAGTAGCTGTGCCTAGAGCAACCGAGCAAGCGTCTCCGTCTTGTGCCAAGAGGAAACTTCTTCTGTAGCTGTAACTCACCCGGTAGTAGTTGCAAAGCTTTGCAAAAGTCCTTTTAATTTTGAATCTCCCATCTCTTTTATGGAGTATAAGTTTGCATTCATTTCTCCTGTGATAAAGTACTAGCTTAGAGGCTAATTGTTTGCGTTTTTGAATGCAGAGCAAGAGTTAGCACCATCAGCTGGATCCCGCGCTGTCGCCTTGTGTTCATTCGCCTTTCTCCTCCTGGCTCGTTGCTTCGCTGAGGCTCTTCCCTTCTCCAGGGGCTCTCCAGGGCTTGGTGTCAGAGCAGGGACTGCTCCTCTAGAGACACGGGTTGCTCTGCTCTTCCTCCAGCGTATCTTCCTTCAGTTAATGGATTGGGAAGGGCCCGTGTGAGGGGAGGGAGAAAAGCCTCAAGTGCTGTGGTGGCTTTCTGAAGTGCTGTGTCACCACAGATCCCACTGAAGGGGAGCGAGGTGAGGGGACACCATTTTATTCAGAAACCTGGACAAGGCTGGAACAGCCATCTGCCAAAGATGCAGTGATATGCAAAGCTCCCACTTCCTTCTTCCAGATCTTTCCAGTGAAGACTCTTGTTCTCCTTGCTGGAGCAGAGCGTAGGCTTGTGCATGGTGTGTGGCTTTACACTGGTTGCTCTTTAATAGTTGTATTTTCTTGGTTGGTTTTGAATGGGGCCTTCATTTTCATTGCAGCTACCCAGAACACGCAGTTACCTTAGTGCATACAGGTGGATCTCGTGGAGGACAGGGGAAGCTCCTTCTATCCAGCAGAGGAAGAATCGGGCCATTGATTTTGGTTGCATTTCAGAGGTTCAGTTGTTAAAGATCATTGTTATCTGGAGTCTCCCTTCAAAAATCTGTTTGCTGGGAGAAGCAAGTACAGTGTGAGAAGTTATCTGCATCAAAGTGGCACTGCAGGGCTTGGACTGGTACCCATTTACACATCTCAGTAGCTTGCTGGAGCTGGGTGATGTTGAGATCCGGAGTGAAGCCATGGAAGGTGGTGCTGTGCTGCCCACCTTGGGTAGCACTTGGTTCTTGTCCTGGAACATCGCTTTGTCCCAGATTAGTTCCTCCTCTCGGCACTCAGCGTAGGGAATGACTTGCACCACTGGAGAGTAGCATGGGCGAGCAGATTCTTTCTTGGTTTCCTCCTTTCTGAACAGGTGGCTTACGTGACAAGTTCTGAAGGCATGAACCTGACCATCACCTCTTGCAGTGCTGCTGCTTCCCTTCTGAAGGCATCCATAACACCAGAGGCTGCGCTTTGTCCAACTGAAAAAGCGATTCCTTATCTTTAGTAGCTCTTTTTATCAGCTGTCTAGTGGAAGGGGGAGAAATGAAGATCTGAGTTTGTTTAGCTGGTGCTGCAACCTTTGCTGTGTGTCAGCTGGGGCATCTGGGAGACCCTTGGAGACCTGCACGCTGCCTTTCTCCTGCTCCTCCACGTGTGCTCCTCCCGGCTATAACGGCTGCCCCATTCGTGTTCCTGTGCTGCTCCTGAGGCTGAATTTTCCTTTTCTTGAGAAAAAAAAACCAAACCAACTTGCATGCACCCCAACTAGTCGTGTGCTTTCCCACTCAGAAGGCACTTTGTTCTGTGCAGACTTGAATTCTCTCTCCTCTAGAGTGTTTTCAGTCTGGAGTCCTTGTCATGAAGGGTCACTTACTCCAGGGTGTGCAGAAGGGCAGGGCCAGAGCCCAGTTGCTGCTGAAAATCCTGCACCCTCTCGCTGCTCCCGTCGCCTCTTCCCCGGGGAGCCCAGCCCAAGTGCTCCCTTCTGGGAACGATCTCTGCCAACGACCACGTGGAGCTCTGGATGCTCTGAGGGTCTGGGGAGTGGAGCCCTGGCTGTGACAGTAGGAGAATGTTTAAATTCATGGCTGCTCTACCTCCGGTTTTCCCTCGAGTTAAAAACTGTTTCAGTGAGGCCAAAGGTGGTTTTATCTCCTCTGGTTCCTTGGAGCTTAGCGCTGCAGCCGGCCCTCAAATTGCTCTTGCTGTCAGGTTTCCAGCTTTTAAATAGGGGGATTTGAGATGTGTTCAGCAAAGCTCTTTCCAGGTGACTTCAGGGCACGGTGATTGGACTGGTTTCCACTGGGCTGATGCGTTCAGACTCTCGGGGTTTTAACATCAGAGCCATGAAACAAATAGCCTGGTTTTTCAGAAGTGCTGAATGCCAAAGATTTTGGTGAGCATGAGGTGTGTGTGGGAGCTCGGGTGACCTGGTCGAGGTGAGTTAGGCAGGCAGAACTCAGCCCTGTTGGAAACGGGAGGAAATCCTTACTGGGATGAGACTGGTGAACCAGTAAAGAGGCTGTTACCCCAGTGAGGCTGGTGTTCCTGACTGGGGGAGGGATGGGGCTGGTATGGGAGGGTGCAGGGATGGAGAGGCTGCAACTGGCTCCAGATTGATGAACACCCATCTGTCGTGAGGTCCTGAGGAGGAGGGAAAGAGAGATCTTCCTTACCCCCCCACCCCTCCAAAAGGAAAAAGATAAGATGGAACATCTCTGAGGGTCTCTGAATGGATTGTGAGCTGCTTGGGATGGCTCTTATTGCTAATACGAGTTGAGCAGTGGCAGCCCAGGCCCCCCCTCTCCCAGCCTGGGCAAACTGGAGGGTGAAATCCCCAAGGTTACCCCCAAACAGGTAACGCTGGCTGGGGGGAGAGCCAGAATCCGCTGCCCCCATCTCAGGAGGATTGGTTTCAGAGCCCTGCAAGGGTTTGGAAGATGTGGGTCCCCCCCAGCAAGGGGCAAAGCCGCATGGGCAGAGAGAGCCCGGGCAGGAGGGCAGCCGGGGGCTGCAGGGTTAGGAAATGCACGCTGTCCCACCTCTGGGTTTCTGTTGTGTGTTTTAATATTATTTTTTTTTTTTCCGTGTGTGAGTGCGTGGGTGGTTCTGCAGCCTGTCTGTTCTCTCCAGGGGGAGTGCATGTGTAGAACAGGATGGTGTGTTGCCTCATTGAGTCTGGGAGAAGTCCTATGATAGCACATTGGGGGTAAAAATAAAGGAAGCTTTTTCCTTAATGTATAAATGAATATTTGTATGATTAAATTAACACAGAAAAAAAAATGTTCTGTAGCTGTTGAGAGTTTTATTGAAGCTGCAAAACCTTATGAATCTGTCATCTTGTAGTTAAATGTTCCCAGCTTGCTTCTATCTCCAGGGTGTTTCCAGACACTAAGGCACAGTGCCTTGAACCCCAGCCTAGCCCTGTCTTTACCCCAAATCGCTTTAAATCAAAACAAATCCATTGTATAATCTTTGCAGAGGACCACAAAGATGATGAGGGGCCTGGAGCATCTCTTAGGAGGCAAGGCTGAGGGACTTGGATCTTTTTAGTCTGGAGAAGAGAAGGCTGAGGGGGGAACTGATCAACGCCTATAAATACTGAAAGGGTGGGTGTCAGGAGGATGGGGCCAGTCCTTTTTCAATGGCACCCAGCAACAGGACAAGAGAAAATGGGCACAAACTCAAACACAGGAAGTTCCATCTAAACATGAGGAGGAACTTCTTTCCTGTGAGGGTGGCAGAGCCCTGGAGCTTTTTGTGAAGGGCGATGGGGGAGAAGAGGCTGTGAAAAGGGGAGGGGGTTCACCTCAGCATCTTTCTGGAGGAGGATTTCCCCCACTGGGGCTGCACTGGGTGGTGCCAGTACAGACCATTACATCTGGTTATACTTGTTCACCAACTTGGCGGTGGATGTCCCTCCTTAGGAGATCAGGTAAGTTCTCCACGATAATGCTGTCCCAGGGCAGGGCGAGGGGGTGGTGGGGGCTCAGCCCTGGCTGGGGATGGAGGTGGGCACCCCCTTGGCACCGCTGCCCGCCCCTTCCAGCAGAGCATGGGGCTGGAGTGGGAGGGGAGGTGGCACCGAGAGGTGTGAGGAGGAGTTTTAGTGGTCCTCATGTGGGGGCGACCAGCACAGAGTCCTTCAGGGCCCCCTGCCTGGCTGGGTGGTGTCCTGGTGCTGGGCTGAGCCCTGGGCACAGCGTGTGGCGATGCTCTGGGCTTCAAACAGCAGCAGCTCAGCCCCGCTGCTTCACCCCTCTTCAGGCACAAATTTTGAAGGCAGAAATTTTGGCTTTTTCCTTTCTTCCTATCCCTAAGGGAGTATCTGCTGCTCCTGTACACCAGGGTGGGGGTGCGTGAAGGTCTCTGGTGGACACCTGCATGGCCACCTCGGGCTGATCCCATTGCCCAAGGCGGCCCGTACCACTCAGGGCACCTGGCCCAAGCCTCTCCCTGTATAAACTATCTATATAAACTGCTGTGGCACAGCTTAGCCGAAGCTTTTCCTTTGCTTACATGTGACTTTGTCGCTAATCCTCGCAAAAAGCCTCGGTCTGTACGCGCTGGGTTTGCTTTTGAAGGTTTGAATAAACGCCTGGAGCTTTCATGTGCTGTTTGAGCTCGACTTGAAAGCCTCACTGGGAACAGACATCCTGCTGCCTCTGCCTACGGGTATTTATTTTGTGCCTCGAAAAGAATGCGCCCCTTGAGCTTCTCGGTGCTCTGGGGTGTCTCTTGGACGGCTCTGTTTGGGGAGCTTGGGGTTGCCTCCCCTCCTCCCTGCCCAACTTTTCATTTACTCCTTATTTGCTTGAAAGAATCTGTTTGCCTTTAGGGTTGCAACCCGTGGAGGTTCGCCAGCGCGGGACAATGCCATCGCACCTCCCAACGCTGTCTCCTGAGCGGGCAAATAACTCCAGGGATGGCTGTAGGGGAGGTTGTCCCCCCCGTCACCATCCCCGCGGGGTGACAAGGCAGGAGCCAACTCAAACTCCTGCCGCGGTCACCCCCAAACTGCTTGCGTTTGCTTTTTCTGCTTGTTTGTTATTTTTAGGGGAAGCAGATAGTTGCTCATGAAAAGTTATAAAAATAATTCTGGTTTTAAGCAGCTCTTTTTTCGCTCCCTGAAGCCGTGCTGTGGTGGGCGGGAGGATGTTCTCTGCTGTGTGTGTGATGAGCTGCAGCGAGGAGGGCAGGGATGGGCAGTGCCCAGGACGGACGGGCACCGTCCCCCAGTCCAGCCTTGCAGAGCAGGATGGGTCCCAGACCCTCCCCAGCCTCACTGCGCCGCCTCCCAAATCACAATCACAGAGTGTTTGGGGTTGGAAGGGACCTTAGAGACCATCTTGTCCCCCTGCAGGCGGGGGCTCGGGGGCTCCAACGCTGTGTCTTCCAGGAGCAGCAGCTGTACCTGCAGCAGGGGATCTTATTATGTGATCTTATTATATTTTTATTACTATTTTTCTCCCTCCTTCCTTCTCTGTCCACTCACTGGTGTGGCAGGCAGCCCCCAGTGCTCCGTAGGATGCTCAGGGAGGGATTTGTGCTTCGCCTCTCCCTTCTCTGCAAATCCTTTGGGGATGTACAGTGGAATATTACAGGGCCGAGGGGGAAAGCAGGACGTGCTGGTGAGGGGGATGCTGTGAGGACATCCTTTGGGAAGGATCCGGGATCTGTGTGGGGTCAGGAATAACTTTCAGTGCAGGCTTTCTCTGGAGGCTTTCTGCAACCTTTAATCTGTCGTTGGAGCGCTCTGGCCATGTGTTAGTTGGAAAATCCCCAGTTAAACAAATTATTTAAGGAAATCTAATCTCAAACGCTTCCTACCCCATTCATAAACCAGCTGAGCAGTAAAAGTGCCCGGTGGAGACCTGGGGAGGAAGCAGATGGTACGCGTGGGGAAGGACCAGCCCTGTTTGCCCCACGGGAGGCTGAGGGCTCAGCTCCCCAGGGCTGGCGTAAGAGCGGTCCCACCTGTAGCCTGGCCTTATTTTGATCGTGTCTTCCCTGTAGCAGTGGTACCTTCCCAATAACTTCAAGGGCTTAAGTGGAGGGTGGGGTGGGGGGGGCGGGGGAAGTACTTTTTTGCACCTATTTACAAGTGGAGTAAGGGGAGCAGCACCCTGAAGGCAGCTCGGCTGTGCTGTGAGTCGGTGACACCATAAGAATCATGGCTCTGTCTTCTGCCACGGGGACAGTGTCAGGAAAAGGGTGATGCTGGGACCTGGGTGGAGGGGTTGGGCTGGACGAGGTGTCCTCTGGCTGGAGGAAAAGCTCATGGCTTGGCTTTTACACTTCAAGAGGTTCCCAGAGGCAGCAGTTCTGTCTCCTGCCGGTCAGGGGTCTATGTTTGAACACCCTCTGCGTAAAACCAGTTGCGTGACCAGTTTCCCAGAGGCTCCCGTGGGCTCCTTGGGCTCTTCTCCCAGCCCAGGGCTGCTGCTGCTCAGGCTGAGGGTGTTTGAACAACCCTGAGGCTGGAGATGGGACCTGATTATTCTCCTTCAGCGAGTGGTGTATTTTTTTCCAGCAGTCAAGCGCCAGCTCTTCATCTCCAGGGCTGTGCTAGATCGGCTGTTCATGGGAATTTGTTAAGGAGCTCTACAAATGAGGATAAAAGCCTTCTCGAGAGCTTTCCCAGTTGCTGGCAGGGCTCAGCCCTGGGCTGACTCCGTGTCCTGGTCGAGGTGTCCATGCTGCCTGCAGGAACGAGCCGAGGGATGCTGATGCTCCTCCAGGATCACGGTAAAACTCTCCAGAGCCAGCAACCTCTTGGGGCAGCTGTTGAGAACACTGTTAAAGTGTCCCGTAAATTCCAAGCAAACCCCAAATTTGGATGGTGGAGAGGAGAGCAGGTGCGTGGGTGGGGAAGGCCGTGGGGATGTCTCTCAGAGCCGCTGGTGGCTGCGGTGTCTCCACAGCAATCTCCCTTTATTGCCTTAAAAACAAGGCTCCTGCTTCCCAGCTGCTGCTGCGGAGCGTGGCTGGGTCGAGCAGGGAGGGATGGGGCTGAGCACCGTGTCCTTGCACTTTCCCCTCACCCCCAGTAAAGCACGGGTGGTGACATGCGTTGCTGGTGGGGTGGTGACGGCTGAGGGTGCTGTACCCCACAGCTGGTGGGAGACACCTGGTCTGGAGTTTGGGCTGCTTCGTACCCGGGTCTGTTCCCAGCGGGGCCAGTGCTCGCTGTGTGTTAGAGAGAGAGGGGCTGAGGCAGCAGGTCCTGAATCCACATCCAGCTCCTCGGCTGTGGGACCACCCAGTGTCCCACAGGACTCATTTAATATCAGAAAGAGCCTGTTGGGCATCTTGTCTTTGCTCCTCAGGGCTGTGGCTCATCCCTGCTGCCCCAGCTCATAGGATCATAGATTCTATTAGGTTGGAAGGAACCTTAAAGCCCCCCCAGTGCCAGCCCCTGCCCTGGGCAGGGACACCTCCCACCAGCCCAGGTTGCTCCAAGCCCCCTCCAACCTGCCCTTGAACCCCTCCAGGGATGGGGCAGCCACAGCTTCTCTAGGCAACCTGGGCCAGGCTCTCACCACCCTCACACCAAACAAGTTCTTCCCCCCATCTCAGCTCCATCTCCCCTCTTTCAGGGTCAAACCCTTCCCCTTGCTCCTAGGGCTCCCCTCCCTCATCCAGAGTCCCTCCCCAGCTTTCCTGGAGCCCCTTGAAGGACTGGAAGGGGCTCCAATCTCTCCCTGGAGCCTTCTCTTCTCCAGGCTGAACCCCCCCAACTCTCTCAGCCACCCCTCCCAGCAGAGGGGCTCCAGCCCTCCCAGCATCTCCGGGGCCTCATCTCCGGGGCCTCCTCTGGCCCTGCTCCAACAGCTCCATGTCCTTCTGCTGTTGGTGGCCCCGGAGCTGGAGGCAGCACTGGGAGGGGGTCTCCCCAAAGCAGAGGGGCAGAATCCCCCCTCGGCTGACCCTCGCCAGGCAGTTTTCTCACCTGTAAGACTGGAATAAATCCACTGAGCAGGCTGGACGGAGGGATGGACTGTCTGTCCTCTGCTTAACAGGCTGCTTGTGCTTGGCTGCAGCCTGTGGCAGGAGCTGGGGAGCATCGGGTGGGTGGCACCGTGTCCCCACGGGCAGGGAGGGCTGCAGGAAGGCACTGGGAAATGTTATTTATAACCAGGGTTTTCTAGGGAAGGGCCTGGCCTGAAGCAGGTGCCAGCAGAGGGAGCTGAGGCTGTTTCTCGTTTACAAAACCCTTCAGAGCTCCTGGATGTGGTTTTTCCAGGCTTCTGGACCCACCTCCCCCCGTGTCTCCTCTGGCA